CAAAAAGGGCTGCCCGCTTCCCCGCGCCAACGCTGCCCTTCCTGGAGGTACTGACTTGATGACCTGCGGCAGGGCGCTGGTGGACAGCCTGAAGAGTGACGTGCTGAAGAGGGAGGTGAAATCTCGCGGGTTCTCGTCCCCCTCCTGGAGACACACGCGCAGGCGCTCGGACAGCCGGCCCGTGTCCGGGAGCATCGTGTAGTCGGAGATCTGTGGGTCACGCACGCAGGCACACACATCACTGCCCGGGTCCCCAGAACCTGGGACAGGACTTGCGAACAGTTTCTACGGAAACAGAACGGACCGAGCCGCACACTGTCCCCTCACCTCGGGGTCCTCCGCATCAATCTGGTTCAAGTGAATCTCATCGGTCATGAGCCACTGGAAGAGAACGTCCTAGAGAGACGGGGAGCACAGGGTCTTAAGCAATCGTGTTTCTGGAAAGGTATTGTTCTTTCCAGAAGATGTATTCCCACATTTAGAACAATGATCTGGGTGTGTGTGGCGAGCTGAAGGGCTTACCATGATCTTACTGTTCTCCTCCTTGTCCAAGTACTGATCACTGAACATGTGACAGGAGCCCAGCACTGCCAGACGCCCTGCCTCCTGCAGCACACCAGGAAACAGAGCAACCAATTAACCACCGGCTTCATGTTTCATGTGCTCGCAGAACACACATCGTGCAGGCTTTTCTCTATGTTGAGGGGAAAACACAACTGTATGTGGCTTCTACAGCTTCCAGGATGAGAATAATGAGAATGAGGAAGAAATCTAGCTTGTCTCTTTCTAAATTGTCGTCAGGCATGCTTGTTTTTGTTTCCTGTGACACTGTTAGGCTGGTCTTAATCATGTCATCAATCACGCTTTTGAAATATAGCTGCTTAGCTAGTTTTGGAATAAAAACTACACTGGTTAATCCAGCTTACACAGAAATTAGAAGGTTCAACATGTTGTAGAACTCCTGGTCTAGGGCAGAAAGATTCAGGGTTCAGGGATCTGGGACACTGTGCTCTGTTCAGCTGGACAGACTAAGGGAACAAAATCTTATTAGCCCGGAGCACATAAGAGTTTGTGGGATGCGATTCAGGCATCCATTATCCTGAAAGTTATTCACCTATTCAAGTCAACATCAGCAGCAACAAAAGCACCCAGGGACACAAGCAGAACTGACATTTAAGTGTTACTTAGGAAGGAAAATATGAAACACTACTAGCAATCAAATGAGCAAAACTGTCCGACGTGTAACTTAACGTCTTACGAGTCAAGGAACAGAAGGAAAACTAAATTGGGAACAAAGAGGGCAAAATTGAGAGAGAGGACGCCTACCCAGTTAAAGATAGGACAGCTTGCAAACAACAATTTCTTTTAAACTACAGTGTCACAATCCAGATTTCAGCCATTTGTTTACATCTCCAAAATGTTAAGAAAAGGGAGAGTTAATTTTAATTCACTTTATTCGTTTTTATAACTCTTTAATCAGTGATATCTTTGGCCAGTGACATCGAGAACTAGCCGAACTGGGTAACGGGCAGGTAAGGGTGGAATTAGCACCTGAAGACACCTCAGTCTCCAGGGCTGTAGGGATGCAGCCCTAAGTTTGCATGGAGAACGGAAAACAGGAGAAAGGCGAACTGGGAGGCGGGGACAGAGAGACAGCCGAGGCCCTACACTCGCAGCGGCCCACCTTGGCCTGGTGGAAGGCGAGGACGGGCCTGTTGAGCGGGAAGCAGACGGAGCCCGTCGACAGCACGGCCGCCGCTGGCTTCATCACGCTGAGCGTGGCTCCGTAGGGGTACACGAAGGTCAGAGCCCTGCAGGGGCACACAGCAAGACCCGCAGCAATGGGAATGAGCGGCACCCCGAGAGCTGGGGGTAACCACACTCCCGGGGGACGCACTTGAACACAACAGACCCGTACGGAAACTGCTCCGACTTTCTGAAAAAATCAGAAGGATAAAAACCTTAACCCTGAAGAACACCAGACTCTTGGAAGATGTTGAAAAATGTATATTTAATAATAGGAATAATAATTGCTTACACTTACATAGCGCTTTTCTGGACACTCCACTCAAAGCTCTTTACAGGTAATGGGGACTCCCTTCCACCACCACCTGTGTGCAGCCCCACCTGAGTAATAAACCAGTACGCTCCCCACACACCAGCTCAGTGGAGAGGAGAGGAGTGATGAAGCCAGTTCAGAGATGGGGATTATTAGGAGGCCATGATTGGTAAAGGCCAGAGGGAAATTTGGCCAGGATAAGACCCCTACGCTTTTCGAGAGACGCCCTGGGATTTTTAATGACCACAGAGAGTCAGGACCTCGGTTTTACGTCTCATCCGAAGGACGGCGCCTTTTTACAGTATAGTGTCCCCGTCATTATACTGGGGCATTAGGACCCACACAGACCGCAGGGTGAGCGCCCCCTGCTGGCCCCACTAACACCTCTTCCAGCAGCAACCTTAGTTTTTCCCAGGAGGTCTCCCATCCAGGTACTGACCAGGCTCACACCTGCTGAGCTCCAGTGGGGCTGCCGGCTGTGAGCTGCGGGGCGATACGGCTGCTGGTTATTTCCCTTTGTTGACAGAAACAGTATAAAGACACACCACACATTGGCTGACATCCCTGTAAGGAGCACTTACTGTGAATTATTCCCCGTGCTTTCATCGTCAATCATCCCCGTCACCACTTTGCCAGCGGCACGACTGATCTCCCTTGAGGGGGGAAAAAAAAGCACAGATTTCAAAGTCAGTTACTAATATATCACTATTATTAAGAAAACAACCCAATGCACGGAGACCAGCTGAGCACAGAGCACTGAGGCTCCTGCTGCTGACCCTTCTGTTTCGGTTTCTTTCGTCTCCCCTGCAGCCTGTGTCTGGTGGGTTTCTGCGTCTCCCAGTTTTGGAATGGTAGGGTGGGGGGAGTATGGAAGAAGATAGACTCAACTCCAGCCTCCTCATTGGGCAAAACCCTAAATTCCTCACGAGCATTTTCTTTCTACGTCTCTGCTCTGTAAGGTGTAACTGTGGGGTCCCCTGTGGGGCAGGGCCGTTTATATACCCAGACATGATCGGTTTGAAAACCAGGCGCAAAACGAAAGGAATCATCTTATATGTTTGTCTTTCTAGTGTTGCAAATGACGCCGTGTCCTGCGACAACGGGATAAACGATTCAGCCACTAAATTCTTAACCATCAAATGTTTCACTTAAATGTTCCTCACAGAGAACATTTCTAGTCCAGGGGTTCCTAGTTTCTGAAAAGAGAAGTGAGGGTAACTAATGTGGGCCTCTCATAGTGGCACAAATGGATCCGGCTTGCTGGTCCGATATCGGCTACAAAGCTGGCGACGCCGTGTTGAGAGCCTCTGCTGTTGTCACTGGGTCCTGGACAGTCTTGATATCTGTATGGAACTTTCATAGCTGCTTGGACGAGTGGTGCCAGTAGGGGGCAGTGGAGGCTTGGAATAACGGAGCCCCCTGAGCCAGAAGCATGTAGCCTGTAGGCTCCATTGCAGAAGTTTGCCTGTACATTAGATTTTAGAGATGCCTGTGTCGAAAGTGGGGAATGACTACTTTTATTTATGCCTTGCATCTCCTTGTCTGAAAAAACAAATGTGTTCACAAAGAAAATACTATCGTCCCACTCAAGCTGAACACATGAGTAGCTCAAATCGAACAGAATTATAACCGCCTTCTTGCTGATGCTATCTGTCCATATTGCTGAAGCCACAGGTTCATCTTCAGTATAAATAAAACTGAAACATTCACCTGTTTAATACCCCATTGGAGACAAGAGCTTCTTTGGGATGAAAATACTTGTAGTACACGTTCCTAATCACTGTATCTGTCAGAAAGGAAGAGAGAGAGACATGTGTTAGAATAAGAATTAGTAGTGTATTAATCGACCTTGCGTTTTAGTTTGGCCCTTGGGCAACACAGAAAACTGCAATCTCTTGACCACAGGTTTACTGTTGCTCAGTAGTAATGCACTAGCACACTGGCCATTAGAGCAATCGATTCTGGATGACATGAAACCCAGAACCAGCTTTCCAGCATGAGTTACAGAAAGGGATGGTCTCAAGAATGCAGTAAAACAAAGATAGATTTTGCCAGCAGTGTAACATTTTCCACATGGACCTCAAAGGGGGAGGCAAATCAGAGCACTGGGACTTTAAAAACTCCTATAACAGCTAATATTCTGACAGCTTATTCTGACAACCAGGCAAAAGGTGATGAATTTACTCAACTCAACAAACTGTAAAAGGGCTGTAGATGGAGATAAGATTTTAATAATAATAATAATAATAATAATAATAATAAACTTTATTTTATATAGCGCCTTTAAAGGTGGCTTCTCAAAGTGCTTTACAGGATGACAATAACAATAAATAAGAAGAATACACAAGATAAAACACAATTACAATATAAAGAGGAGACCGTGGATGGTGGTACTAAGAAAAGCAGAGGGGTGAAGAATGGAACCAGTTCATTAAAGGCTTTTCTGAAGAAGAGGGTTTTGAGTCTGGATTTGAAGGAGTTTAGAGAAGGTGACTCTCTGATATCCTTGGGGAAAGAGTTCCAGAGCTTGGGGGCATAGCAGGAGAAGGCCCTGTCGCCCATACAATGTAGACGGGCTTGGGAGACAGTAAGGAGAGCAGACTTAGAAGAGCGAAGGTTGCGAGGTGGGGAATAGGGCGATAATAGTTCAGACAGGTACTCTGGTGCCAAGCCACGCAGAGCCTTATAAGGTGAGCATGAGGATTTTAAAGTCTACACGGAATTTGACCGGAAGCCAGTTAAAACCCGCTTGTAACAGCTGAAGATCGAAATCCCCTAACATCCCTGCACGCGTCTCCTTGGCTGCAGTACGGCACTGTGGGGGCAGAGGGTGTGGGCACCCCTGCTTACACTTATATAGCGCTTTTCTGGACACTCCACTCAAAGCGCTTTACAGGTAATGGGGATCCCCTCCACCACCACCAATGTATCACATCATCCAGCCCCACCTGGATGATGTGACAGCAGCCATAGTGCGCCAGAACGCTCACCACACATCAGCTATCAGTGAGGAGGAGAGCACAGTGATGAAGCCAATTCATAGAGGGGGATTATTAGGAGGCCATGATTGGTAAGGGCCAATGGGAAATTTGGCCAGGACGCCGGGGTTACACCCCTACTCTTTTCAAGAAACACCCTGGGATTTTTAATGACCACAGAGAGTCAGGACCTCGGTTTTACATATCATCCGAAGGACAGTGGCTGTTTACAGTATAGTGTCCCCATCACTATACTGGGGCATTAAGACCCGCATGGACCACAGGGTGAGCGCCCCCTGCTGGCCCCACTAACACCTCTTCCAGCAGCAACCTTTTTTTTTTCCCAGGAGGTCTCCCATCCAGGTACGGACCAGGCTCACACCTGCTGAGCTCCAGTGGGCTGCCAGTTGTGAGTTGCAGGGTGATATGGCTGCTGGCGGAGAAGGAACCAAAGACGTGACTGACCAACTGATCATGGATCTTGGCATAAGCATTTGGAGAACAGTATTGAAAAAGAAAGAGACTTTAGATTTTGGAGCTGGAAAGCAGCTTAGCATTATAGAGATCATATATAGAGAAATGCCTATTAAAAGATCCCCCTACCTCACAACCATTACATTTAATTTGCAAATCCTTCTGCTGCACCCAGTTTAATTTTTAAAATATTCATAAATACAACACAGACAAAAGGATTTTTTTCAAAACATTTCCCCCCAGATCACTGGCAGGCACACCACTACTCTACGGCAGAAGCACCAGGAAAGAAAATAGGACCGCTTCCGCCATGGCAACGGACTGTTCCACTGGGCAGGAAGATGGGGGTGGGTCAACCATTAAGACTGTGCTTCTGTTACTGTACCTACTGAAATGCAAAAGAGTGGGAAAACTGAAGGATTGAAAAACTGAAGAAATATTAAAATGTGCATTTTATGTAAAATGAATATAAAATGGTTAAAAAGGACCTGACGGGATTACATAAAGGTAAGACCAACGATCAAAGGAGAGTGGTTAAAGGAATCCACTATGCCACCAAAATCTTTCTAGCTGCAGTGAGATCACCAAGCCAGACCCAACTCTGTCCCACTGAGTAAGCGGGAACATCTTCGTCTAGTACAAAGATGAAAAAACACAATTCCAAAACTTTGCTACCTTAGCTCAAGTTAGCTCAAGAGAGGCAACAATTGAGATCTTTCCAAGTGTGGTGTAAAATGTATTTATTAAATGCACACATGTGCTGGCAAAACCTGGACCAGGCATACAATGTTTTCATGCTGTGGAGATCGCAGACTAGGCATTTATATCTTCCCAGCACTCATATACCCAGAATAATATCAAACTTACTGCGTTCTAGTAGGAATTTGGCCGGGAAGTTAAAAAAAAAGGTGATCAGAATGTCATAGTGATACAAAAAGCAATTTTTCTTGACAGCTAATCACCCACGGACCCCAATACAGAAACTGGAAACTCCTACATAAGAAAATCAAGATACCTGCTGCTTTATACTCTGAAGATATAGAGGCTACAACATATGACTGCTACAACACATTCATGCAGTCTGTGTGTGTGCGTTTCACCCTGAAACTAGACTAATAGGAGTTCATCGGTAAATAGCTGAGCAGTTATTACTGAGACTTTTGCACAGACATGGTATATTAGAATACACTGGTCTGTAGTTGTCGAGTATATCATGAGCCATATTATTCTTTCTCAGGATCAGAGTCATAGCAGCCTTTTTTACTAAAGGAGGTACAATCGCAACTCTCAGCAACTCATTGATAACATTTTACAACAACGGACAGAGAGCTGGACAACTAGACTGAAAGGGGAAGGAAACAGAACCATGTAATACATCTTAGAGTAAGATCAACACAGTCAGTAAACAGGGTACCAAAAATGTGTGAGTATCAAAATTAGGATCGGAAGCACTTATTGATCTCTAAGCATTATTCACTTCATGGAAGACGGCCTGGATAACCCGTAGGGTAGCAAAAGTAGCACAGGCGTTCAGTGGAACCAAACCTACAGGATGAGAGAGGCTAAAGACTCACCACTGTTGACCATGATTCCAAACTCCTCCAGCAGGAAATTGATGTTGGTGTCAAACTTGAGTTCTCCCCCCTCTCCCAGCATGACCAGGACATTCCCTCCGCCGTCCAAGTATCGCTTCAGCACCTCCAGCTGCACAAGGAGAGAAAGCGCAGATGGAACATAGCTCTGCAGACAGGAACCACCAGCACTCTGGAAAGTGCTGAATCATCTGCTCAGGTCAGACAGATGTAAATATCAGCGGCACGTTTTTCTTCTCAAGATAGATTGAGATGTACCTTTCATCAAAATGTGTTTGCCTAAACAACTACATGTCATGTCCACAACAACCTTCCTCTCCATCTGTGAAATGTCACTTGTGTAGGAATTGGTTTGTGTCTCTTCACTGCTGGGCAAGACTGAGGCATCTCAAACACAATCTTTAGCTACAAACATGTATGTTATGAACATCAGAGTTTTACTCCAAGTCTTGACTAGTGTTTTTTTCACATTATAATAACTTTGTTATTCATACATGTCATTTTTTGTGAGTAGAACCCTAATCTTTAATTCACATTGATTCAAAAAACATGATCACAACAACACAGAGTAAATGACACAAGCACTAATGAAATAGTAGATAAACTATCACATTTACTTATCTAATGTGGTTAAAATTTCAGAAGACTGTGAAATTTACATAATTCTTACAGAAAGATGTAAAAATACTGAAGTAGAAGTGTAGAATAGTATAAACTAAGACTTCTGCACTACAGTGTAGTTAATGGATCAATCACTTCAATTACATTTAAATCTGAGGTCTACTTTTTGGCATTCAAAATGAAAAACAGCTGAACCAATCTCACAACAGTTTCAAACAACTTTTCCAGGCCTAAAAGCCTGGACAACATTCAGACAAAGTTATGACTTAGTTAATAGAGTGATCAGAAGGACATGTAGTGCACAATCTGGGCTATCTCTTAATAGTCATATTGTGGAGTGTGAAGTCATTTAGAAATGTGCATCACTGCAAGTTAAATTATATGCAACTGCGTCTCCTGTGTATTTTACTAGATAATATCCTGTCTTGCACATAAAAAGCTCCATCTCTACCTCAGCTGCTGTGAACTTCTCTCGAGGTCCTGCTGTGATCCACAGCTTCACACCAGCCAGTTTCTCCGAGGAGAGCTCTTCTTTAAAGCTGGGGGCACAAGCATTCAGAGCTGTGTCAACTGTTGAGGGAGCACGGTAAATGCTGATTTCAACCTAACCTCTGAGGAAAACCTAGGTACCGTATGCAAGAAGACCCAACAGCAAACTCTTTAGAAAGAGTTAAGAAACTTTTAGTTTCTTCCTAAGAAAATTTGGCTCTTTCAATGCCTGTACCACAACACTGACTTGATTATATAGATCTTTCATTGTATAATCTTAATGCACAGAATAAAAAACTGAGCAGGATTGTGAAGGTAGCCAGCAAAATTATTGGTGCACAACAGCTACAGCTTTCAGACATCTATGTCAAACAAACGTTGCAGAAAGCCAATATAATCATCTGAGCATTGATTTTAACTACCTAGATTCAATTTAGAATTAAGTTATCTTTTATGCACAAGGCTCTTAACTTGCTTAATCTTGGACTAGTCATTACACATTTTACTTTATTTACATCTTTCTTTCTCATCATACATGTATGGCTCTTATTTGTCAATGAGTTCATCTCGTGTTAAATGTGTTGTATTGTATCTTTTACCTGCATGCAAAGCAGATTTCATATCTGGGACACTATCAGGAAGTAAGAAACAACAACGCTCATTAGTTATCTGCTCTGCTTAACGTGATGTACCTCTGGATCTTCCACTGGGCTCTCAGCTTCTTCTGCAGTGACTTGAAGCCGTTGCTGGCCGTGAAGACCTCTCTTTTGGAGGCGTTGATCACGACGCTGTTGCGCTGCTCTTTCTCCATTCTGATCGTGACAGGATGAATTTCCTTCTCTTCATCGGAGGCTGAAGCAAACAAGCAGCATCCCTCACAGATCTGTTCAAACACAGCAGTGGGAGCCCACAGTGTACTGCTGCTCCTACCACTATAATGCCGGAGCTACAGATTCTGCAAGGCGCTACGACTCCTCGATCTACCGCTGCCGTAGGTACGAATAGACGGCGCTGATGAACACTACAACAACTCAAGAGATAAACCACACATCTTTAACAGAGTGTAGAAAGATAGGAACGTGTGGTCTCCAGATGGGTACCACGGCTCAGCTCATATTCTATAAGCGATAAATGTACCCGCATTATTCAAGACGTATTGCAGAATAAGGCATTACTGAGCATCAGCGTCCCATGACCCAGCTGATCATAAATTGACTTTTACGGTGAAAAAAAAACACCGCCATCCGATCGCTAAACATTTATCTGTAGATGTTTTTGTTCATATCTCTCGTTACCAGAACACTGACAAACAGTAGCTGCTGCATTCCCGAACTTCAAATCAATCGTGTTTAAATAAGACTTAAAAACCTAAATGTTTTAACTAAACCGCCATCATCAGCTACTCGGAAGTGTGGCGTTTGTCCGCTTTGCAACTACTTTTCATAAACGACTGAATGACTCTATTTTGACACATAAATACAAACTATCCTTACCTGCGAATCAGGACACCATCTTCAAGAGGCCGCTCGCAGGGCATGCTGGGAGAACTCTAAAAACACAACGGTAACTAGGACCGCTTCTACTATGGCAACGGGCTGTTCCATTGGTCAGGGAATATAGGGGTGGATCAACCGTTACCACCGTGCTGCTGTTGCCGTTCTAAGTGCAAAGCAAACAGAGGGAGATGAGGAATAAAATTGTGGAAAAATTGAATAAATCAATGTGTAATGTGTAATGTGTAATGAACAACAGATGTTAACTAACTTTTAAAGTGAAAGATAAATCTGTAATAATAAATCTTTATTTGATAATAATATTCTAGTTAGCCCACTGGTCTACATTGTGCCAATGAGAGAAGTGAGGACCTGTGTCTCCCGGAGAACATTCCAGTAGAAAAAGGCTCAGCTGGTACCAGCTGGCGACGGGTATCTTCCAGCTCAGAAAGTATCAAACCAGGTAGAAACTGGCTCACCTTTAACAGTGGGAAAGCTATCGCCTTCTTAGTTAACAGGTGAGAAGTTTCAACCAGTTCATACCAACAAACACCAGCAACAATTATAAGAAACCAGTTGCTAATGTGTACTGGAGCCAACAGGATTTTCCACTGGGAAGGAGCAAGGGGGGATTAATTCCACACTGAAGAGAAAAGAGAGAAGAGGCTCCACAGCCGAAACCTGTGTCCTTCTTTCTACTGTCCAGTGTGTATTTAACCTCCTTTTGTTCCAAAGAGTAAAGAACGCTGAACTGTCAAGTATGTAAGAACGTCAGGAAAGTTACAACTGTGAGGCCATCGAGCTCGTTTGTGTGATTGAGCCAGGGATCTTGTCCGAGGAGCCTGCTCCATAGTCCCACAACTCTTTGTGTAAGTGCCTCCTGTCCGCAGTATTCTAAATAATAATAATTGCTTACAGTTATATAGCGCTTTTCTGGACACTCCACTCAAAGTGCTTTACAGGTAATGGGGACTCCCCTCCACCACCACCAGTGTGCAGCCCCACCAGTCCGCTCACCACACATCAGCTCTCAGTGGGGAGGAGAGCAGAGCCAGTTCAGAGATGGGGATTATTAGGAGGCCATGATTGGTAAGGGCCAATGGGAAATTTGGCCAGCCCCACTGAAGCTCAGCAGGTCTGAGCCTGGTCAGTACCTGGTTGGAGACTTCCTGGGAAAAACTAAAGGTTGCTGCTGGAAGAGGTGTTAGTGGGGCCAGCAGGGGGCGCTCACCCTGCGGTCTGTGTGGGTCCTAATGCCCCAGTATAGTGACGGGGACACTATACTGTAAAAAGGCACCGTCCTTCTGATGAAACATAAAACCGAGGTCCTGACTCTCTGTGGTCATTAAAAATCCCAGGGTGTTTCTCAAAAAGAGTAGGGGTGTAACCCTGGCGTCCTGGCCAAATTTCCCATTAGCCCTTACCAATCATGGCCTCCTAATAATCCCCATCTCTGAACTGGCTTCATTACTCTGCTCTCCTCCCCACTGGTAGCTGGTGTGTGGGGAGAGTACTGGAGCACTACGGCTACTGTCGCATCATCCAGGTGGGGCTGCACATTGGTGGTGGTGGAGGGGATCCCCATTACCTGTAAAGTGCTTTGAGTGGAGTGTCCAGAAAAGCGCTATATAAGTGTAAGCAATTATTAATTATTATTATTATTAATTTGATCATCATCATCATCGGAGTGTTGAGGAACTGGAAATCCTGTTATGTTCATTCAAAGAGATAACTTTATTACATTTCCTTTTTTCCCACCCACTAGTTGAGTGTATTTTGTTTTCATAACTAATGCAGAAAACATCTGCATATTTGTATGTAAAGGTTCTGTGATTAGAGCCTCTTATTGTGATTGTTACATTTACAGATGGTACCTGTTAATCTGCATGAATACACAAACAAGTGACTTTTAAAAACAACCCATAGGGGCCAAGTCTCAATGTAAACCAAGCCTAATTTGAGGTTCTTGTCCCTTCCCTGTGAAAAGAGCAGGGGGTGTTTTTTTTATAAAAAAAAAACAGCACACGCTGGTCCCAGAGAGCTCATCTGTTCACTGGTGTGGGCAGCTCTGAAATCCATTTGAAAATGGAACCATTTTGTTTCAACACACCAGAACTCTCTCATGGAGAAATAAAAGTTTAACCCTATAGTAAAGTAACAGGAAATTTGCCTCGAGGCCAAATGAATCAATAACCATATTCACAACACAGAATTTTGGGAAGATCTCTGCGATTTGTGGTTCGTTTGGTTGTGACCAGGTGGTGACGATGACAACTAGTAGTGGCAAGTGTCCAAATCATTTTCAATGTGCTCCGTTCTGTTAGAATTTTAACCTGGTTCATATCACAGGTCAAATATAGCACCACTGACACAGATGATGAAGGACATGTAGCACAGTGCGTGAAGTCCTCATTTACATTTTTATTTATATTGCAAAATAATACATTATAAACCATTCGTCTCAGAAAACAATTAAATTGATTAAGACACAGGCAAGTTTCCAATAACTAAACATGACCAGCAAACACGTCGCCTAAGTGTTTACAATTGGCTACAATCGGTTACAATTCTTCTATCATTGTTAAATGGAATCAATGTACTATGCATATCTCCTGCATCGCTGTGGAGTCCCCTAAGATTCTCTGGGATCGTAAATAATAGTCTTAGTTACATAAGCCTTAGGTTCTGTGGTCAAAGGCTATTTTTACTTGGAAATAAACAAACAGCACAATAAAAGTTTAGGGCGGCTCACTGCAGGGAAGGACTTTACTCTTGGTAATAAAAGAGTGACTCTCACAGCACAGACATGGAGTGGGAGACATTGTCCTACACCCACACACTTCAGCTAATGGACAGCGGATATTTACATTCTGCAGTGCAATTAAAAACCAAAATAAAAAGTTGTCCATTACAGAAATGTTCCAAACCAGCCCACCGGAGTGTTAGACAAGACTGAACAGAACCCCATCAAAATTAACTGGTACTGAAGCACATCTGATACAAGTCATGCAAAACAAACACAAAAGAAAAAAGACCCAAGTATACGATCAACCAATCAATAACGGGAACCAAGTGGACATTTCGGCACGTCCGCAGTAAGGGGTGCAAATCGGTGACGAACGCCCCTCTCTGGCACAGCAAGAGCTGTCGAGATATTGGAGTAGTTACCTCTTCTTTTGTGCAATTCATCACTTAAAGTTGGAACAGAACTGTCTCCTAGGAAATGTCCCCTTCACCTCCCCATCCCAACCACAGAGGGTATCCTTCAACAATGCATAATTTAAATGGAATAACATTGTCCTTAACTGTAAAAGTTGCCAAAAAGCTTTATGTTCTTAATTTTGATAACGATGTATCTGTGGCCACAGAGCAGGCAGGGTCCAAGAGAGAGACATGGAGAATTCTCCAAGCCTGCTCTGTGACGTAGGGCACGCAACGCAGGAAAGGCTGGGGGTGCAGGAGTCGGCTCTTCGCTGCACGGGCGAGGGGGGTTTTACAGTCCTGCTGAAGACAGCCTGGCCCATCTCGCTTCTCCTCCTGGAGGGGCATCCAGGGTCCGTCTCTGGCAAAGGAAGCTTCTCGCAAGCCTCCCCTCAGTTTAGGAAGGCCTCATCACCCTGCACGTAGGAGAAGCCCTTGAAGGCGTTGGAGCTGCTGGTGCCCAGGCAGGAGCTGAGTTCAGGGGTGCGCCCCACTGAATTGGGGACCATCTCCTTGGTGAACTCCGGGTCAATGTGTCGGAGGTCAGCTGGGCCGTTCTAGAGCAGAACGAAAGTGTGAAAGAGTGTGTGTAACAAGCCACACTCGGCAGTTTTATATTTTAGGAAGGGCTTCACAACCTTTTGCGACCCTGTAGTTGCCCCTAGTAATTCCTGTAGAGCAGTCATTGCACTCCGTTTCTCTGACGGTCTGAATTTTAAGATGAAATGTTTGACATGACTTGGTTTTGCAAAATCAGCTCACTTTTTAATGCATTAGTTTAGAGACTGCTTGCATGCGAAAGCTTCCCAGCGTCAGTACGCGATATCTCCTACGAGATCGTTCGCAGAGAACGGTCTTTAAGTTTGTTCAAAGAACAGGCTTAAAGACGTTCAAGCAGGGAGCTGCGTCAGCACGCTTGGCCTGGAAAGGAACAGGTAAGGGTTTATTCCATGCTGAGAGGAAAAGAAAAGAGACAACTTTTCGGCTATGGTGCTAGGAGGGGCTTAAAGAATGCTTTCCATCTAAGAAATAGTCGAGGTGCGTCCTACGCTGCCTATGTCTGTAGTGGAATCACTGATTCACAGTTTCATTTTTAGAGGGGCTGCAAGAGTCTCTAAAAAACAATATTAAAATGACAATTTGCTGAATTTAAAATTCAAGGCTGCACTTGGCTTGGCCATTTATGAGCCACTGTTCTGGAACACCACCCCAAAAGAGACTCCGCCAGATCTTAAATCGAGCTTTAATCTTTTTATAGAGTCAATTTTGTGATTGTCTTAGCTTTGGTTTTTTTTATCTGCAGCTTCACAATTTTACTTATTTGCTACTTCTTCAATATGGTAAAGCACTTTCAGATTAATTTTAAAGAGATTATTTTTTTTATTCTATTCAACTCGTTCAATTAATTCTATTAGATCTCGGTACACTAGATGACACGTCTCACACACATGCAGTTTCTGTGACAGGAGAGGGCCTGCTTACCACTTTGGGGTTGTAGGGAGGAGTGATCCTCTTATGATACAGGTCATCCCAGTTTATGGGGGAGAAAAACACATGGGTTTTAAGCTCCAACTGGAAAAGAAAACACTTTCCATTCAGATGACACGTTTAAGCAATTTGGGAAGGACATTCATATTAAATACAAACAGCAGGAGGAAGCAGAGTGAGAATGAGCAGACAGACTCTTCTTCCAGCATAAAGATAAATAATAGGTGAAAAATCATAAATATTATACAAAATACATATATATTTATACAAAAATTGGTCTATGAAGTCATTATACTATATTTATAGTACGAGAATGAGATAGAAAAGACTTAATCGCCTAGTGCCGTGTGAGGATCAGAGGAGGGGGGGTGGGGGTGCGTTCGCAGGGACTCACAAAGTCGGCCTTGGCCCCCATGCGGTGCTGGGGGTTCTTCTGCAGCAGCCCCCTCAGCAGGTCACAGGCTGCCATGCTCTTGCCCGGCGGGAGGTGCAGGGGCTTGTGGAGAATGTGGTCGTACATCTCCGACACGTCCCGGCTGTAGAACGGGGGCTGCAGGGAGGGGAAGGACAGAGACCAAATTTGCACACAGTCCCGCTGGTCGGGCGCCGAGATCTGGCCCACAGCCGCGCACAGATCTGGGCCCACAGCGGCGCAGAGATCTGAGCCCACAGCGGCACAGAGTCCCGCTGGCCGGGCGCAGAGATCTGGCCCACAGCCGCGCAGAGATCTGGGCCCACAGTCGCGCAGAGTCCCGCTGGCCGGGCGCCGAGATCTGGGCCCACAGCGGCGCAGAGATCTGGGCCCACAGCCGCGCAGAGTCCCGCTGGCCGGGCGCCGAGATCTGGCCCA